TCAGTTGCAGCTCGCAGTACGGGAAAGCTCTGCGAGATCTCGAAGGAGAGTGAGAGTATTCTGAATCTTCAGGCGAATTATGAAATGGACGCGCGTCGTGGACAGCAGGGAGATTTGGTTGTAAATTGGAAAAGTAGATATTCGACACTTGAAGTGGCTCGAAAACATTTGTAGAATCTGTGACTTCCATTCTACGAACTAGTAAATATTTTAGCCTATATATTCGAGTCAAGTTAATTCAAGGCTCACCTCGGAAGGAGTCTCTAAAATCAGTTCAGGTGGGCCGATACAGAAACTGGTGCAGCAGAATCGCAAAAACGTTAACGTAAGGAAAGCCACGTACGGCGGACGCCGCCAGAACTTGAGCGGAAGTTGAAGAAGCAAGTGGAATGAGCGCCTATATTGATTTGCGACGCGCAGTCACTTCTGTCACACGTCACTTTACCTGTCCTAAGCTTGCATGAGCGTCCCCGACCCCGCACTAGGCACGATCGTGCAAGTCTCTGTGGGCGGGGGTGTAGTCGCTCGAGGCGTAGTACGCTTCTCCGGCGTCACTGAATTCAAACCGGGTAAATGGGTTGGGGTAGAGTTGGATGAGTGTATAGGGAAGAACGATGGGTCGGTAGAGGGAGTGCAGTATTTTACGTGCAAAGGAGGGATGGGGTACGGAGTGTTTGTGAGGGCTGGTCAGATTAAGGGTGTATTGGGGTCTGAAATTCAGCAGGCGAAAGAGAAGGTGAAGGTAGCCAGGCCATCGTTAGGTCACCAAAGAACGAATAGTGCGTCGATTAGAGCCGCAGCATCGCCTGCCAATAGTGCTTCAATTAGAGCGTCGCCTGCTTCTTCTTCGAGTAGGTCACAAAGTCCAGCCAAGCCTACATTTGGTCGACTTGGTCCTCCGTCGCCGACAAAGAAACCTTCGCAGCATCAACCTCGGAGGTCTATATCTCTTAAAGCGCAGTCTCCGCCGTCTCCGCAATCAAATCCCCCACAGCCCAGAGTTTCTTCTCCATTGGCTTCTTCTCCACAACCTAGAGTCTCCTCTCCCCTCGCTTCCTCCCCTCTAGCCAATCCACCACCTGCCCCCCAACCAGTAGTCGATGACTCTGAGCTACACTCTCTCCGCGCCAAACTCCGTGTCCTCGAAGCCAAACGCGCCGATGACGCCTCACATCTCCGACAACTCGAATCCCGCCTCTCTGAAGCCGAATCCTTCGTTTCTCTCCGTCCAAAACTACAAGCTAAGCTTCAGTCCCAGCAGACAGAAATTACGTCCCTCCGTCGAGAGCTTTCCGATGCTCAGCAGCTAGCACAGCTGGCTGATACCCGCGTAGCCGACGCACAAGAACAGTTGGAGATGGTCATGCTGGATAAGGAGATGGCAGAAGAGAAAGCCGAGATGGCAGAGGGAGAATTGGAGGATGTGAAGGAGAAATTGGCTATTGCCGAGGTCGAGTTGGAGGTTATGCGGGAGGAAAAGGATGCAGAGGACGACGCTGACGCTACTGTTGCTGCTCAGAGTCCAGAGAAATCCTCCCTAGCGTACATCCAACTAGAAAAACAAAACGAGAGACTCAAAGAAGCGTTACTCCGTCTGAGGGATATGACGCAGGAAACGGACCAGGACCAACGCAGGAGGATTGCCGAGATGGAGAGGGATATGACTGGGTTGGAGGAGCTGCAGGCTCAATACTCTGAAACGGTAATAAAACTATCCAACGCTCAAGTACAAATCGAAGACCTTAAACTTCAATTGGACGATGCACTGGGTGCAGAGGATATGCTCGTTCAGCTTACGGAGAGGAATCTTATGTTGGGGGAGGTATGTGCCACAGGCTATGTACATAAGATTCTGCTTTCTAACATCCGTTCCAGAAAATCGAAGAAATGCGAATAACCATCGAAGACCTCGAAGCAATCAAAGAACTCTCCGACGAACTCGAAGAAAACCACATCGACACTGAAAAAGCTCTCCATTCCGACATTGACTCGCTCACCTCCCAACTCCACACTCAATCCCAAACCATCGATACTCTTACGTCTGCGTTAGCTGACCATCAATCCACCTTGGCTCAATTCCGCAGCCTAGTCATCGACCTACAATCCCAACTCGACACGCTCCGTCTCCAAACCCAAACAGCTGTCTCCGAATCCGCCCAAGTCCAAACCCAAAACGCGCTCATCGCCGCAGCTAACCTGCGCCTCAAAAGCGGCGTCGAGAGGAATCAGAAGAGAGAGGTGGAGGGAATGTTGGGTAGGTTGGAGGTACGAGAGGTTCGGGAGGAAATACAGATCCTCGAACGGTATTTGGATGAGATGGAGGTATGGGGTGAGGGTGAGGGAGGGGGCGATAGGGAGGCGCTCAAGTGTTATTTGTACCTCCAGCGGCTGGCGGGCAAAGCGAATATTATTAGTGAGGTTATGGCGAGGATGCATGGGTTGCCTGAGGCGTTGGATGATTCGCCTAGCACGGAACTCCTCGTGGGTGTATGCGAACTCCGGGGCCGCTTGAGTGCGCTCAGCACCCTCTGCAATCGATTCGCCTCAGTCCTGAGACGTTGCGATGCGGAGATGTATTTGAGCGTAGGGAGAGGGATGTGGGAGGAGATACGCGGTTTGGAGAAGAGGATCGATGTTCATGTCGAGTTGTTAATGGGAGGGGGGAGTGGAGGTGAGTTTAGAGAGAGGGAGTGTGTTAGGGATGTGGCAATACTCCAAGCGCAGTTTAGCCATCTTGCAGAGGTGTACCTCGCCCCAGCCTCAGACGGGAACCCCGACACTGACTCGGCCTCGCCCTCCAAGCTCACCCTGACGTACAACCCCCTCTACGACATGGCGGAAAGAGAACTCGGAAGCGTCGAGCTGTTCGAGATGGATTTGGATATGTTTGCGGCGAGTATTGGGATGATGAAGGGGAGTGTGGAAGGGTTGGTGCGAGAGGCCGAGGCTCTCGAGGCTGAGGCTGAGGCTGAATACTCGATCGACATGGGAGGATTCGATATCAACACGGAGCTTTACCAGCCTTTGCAGAAGCTTCTGGAGAGGAGTAAGAGTGCAAAGGGGTATGCGCGCAAAATGACCCAACGCCTCTTCTCCCTCTCCCATACTTCCCCTCCCTCCGCCCTCAAACCGCACCTCATCCCACATCTCGAGTCGTTGAATAATACGTTGCAAGAGTTGCTTAATTTTTCGATTCAGCTGGCGCAGCAGACGTTGGGGCATTTGGGGGAGGTGAGGGGTACTACTGGCGAAAGTGCAGGTACTGCGGGGGCGGGCAAGAAAACTCCCTTTAGCCTACGCTTAATCCTCAGCTACGCAAAGCAACAAGCTGCGCTAATCCGCGGAGCTGGAGAAAAGCCTGGTACGTTATGGTGGGAAGCGGTTGGGGAGAGGATTGCGGGTGTTGTGAAGGAGGGTGCAAGGGTGTTGGAGATGATGGGCGAGCCGGAGAATGTGCTGAAGAGTAAGCCTCTAACTTTCTACCGACTTTTTTTTTAACGCTAACTATTCCCCCAGTAACATTCACACCCCCCTGGTTAACTCGCCTCCCAACCCTCAAAGCTTCGCTCCCCACCAACATCTCCGCAACCCACCAAATCTCCTCTCTCTCCTCCGACCTTACCTCTCTCCTCCGCACCCTGAAATCCACCGAGACCACCCTTTCCGAAGTCACTCACAAGAATACGTTACTCGAGCACAAGCTCAATCAAGAGAAAGATAAAGGCGAACGGGTCAAGTTGCAAGAACGGGTGGGTCAGTTGGAGGGAGAGATGGGCAAGATGAAGAAGGCGGAGAAGAAGTGGGAGGAGGTGGTGGAGCAGCTGAATGGGGAGGTGGAGGTGCTGGAGAGGGAGAATGGGAGGTTGAAGAGTTTGGGTGGGGGTGCGGGAGGTGCAGGAGGGGGTGTTGGAGGAGGGGCTGGAGCGGGAGGGACGGAGAAGAGTGCTAGCGGAGCCCCTGGTCCGCAAAGTGCAGACCAAGAGAATCACAACACGGTAGAAAGTAATCTCGATCAAGCTCAGTTGATTGACCAGGTTCGTTCGCTCTACGACTTGTTTTTTTCTTTCGACTAATTTTTGTCCCTCTAGTACAACGCCCTCCGAGGAACCCTCCGTTTCCTAAGAATGGAAAACTCGTATTTGAAAGGACAGGATCTAATCAAAGATATTAGGTCTTTGCCTGTGATACCGGAACCACGACGCATGGCTACGCCTCCACTGGATCCTTCGGGGCTTTCGGATACGGATGATGAGGATGAGGATAATGAGGAGGAGGATGGGGCTTCTTCAGTTGGAGAAGACGCAGAGTCAGAGGCGCCCTCGAAAAGTAAACCCAAAGCCAAAGTCGAACACGACCACGACGACTCCTCTTCATCCTCAACTACCTCTCCTCCGAGTCACGGTCTCTCCCTCGCAGTAGAAACCAAACTCCTCTACCGTTCCGTCATGAAATTCGCTTCGTCGCCTAGAGTAGTGGATCTTTCGGAGATGAATAGGAAGCGGTTGGAGGCTAGTCAGAGGATGCAGCAACGGGAGCGAGAGCGGAGCGAAAACTCGGGCGGAGGTGCGAGTGCGGGTGAGGGTGCGGATGCGAGTGCGGGTGGAGACACGGACTTGGGCAAGGGAGAAGATACTGGTACGAGTACGGGTACAGGCGCGGGAGGAGTGTGGATGCCTCGGAGAAAGATGCCAGTTCAGCATGTATTGGAGAGGAGGATGGAGAGGGAGAGGTTGGCGAGGAGGGTCAAGGGGCTGGTGGAGAGGGCGAACAACTTGAAGGTTGGGGTGTAGTTCTAAAAGACTACTGTGTGGTGATATGTATGTTATACCTTATTTTCTCTCTCCAAGATACCACTGCTATAGGTACATGTTTTTCGTTTGTCGCGTACTCATCTTCATATCTATCTTAGTCCAAGAATGTAATGCAGTCTAATTTGTATGGAATTAATCAAGAACGCTGAGCTACATGTACGTGTGCATGGAGATGTAGCGTTGGCTGTGACACCGTTGGTAAAGTGGTTATTATGCTTACCTTCCACAGATTTTAGATGTTGCTGATGAGCAAGTGGCTCGGGTTCGATTCCCGAATGGTTTATGTCTAGATCGCCCATGTTTGTAGCATCTTGTTTTTGGAAGATCAATTACAGAACATGTTTAAATACTGCACGAACCAGTCGCAGTGTTTCATTTTGCTTGTTGGGCATCCCTCTCGCCCATATTGAAATCCAAAGCTTAATCTCGTCATTAATCTTCTCCGACACGGGAGACAAATTAGCTCAAGTTCGCTGGTTTACCGTGCCCGGGCGAGCGCCTCATCCAAAGCTCATCCCGTACCAGGGCGTTGAACTACACGCATCACTGACCCGTTAGGTGCGATCTCAACCGGATTTACCTTTACCAATCTCTGATTCTTCACCGAAAGCCTTCCGCCTTTCTTCAGGAGCTCCTTGCACGCAAATACACATTGCTGGCACTGTCATTCACTTCAGTAGCTTTTACTAAACTTCCATTGATTTTGGAAACGGAACATATCCCTACATGGGACTTGGAAAGCGAGCGAGGTGGAGTAAATCAGGGTATTATTATGGAAAAAATGTGTATATAGTGGACTGAGAAGAAAGCGAAAGGACCTAGGCCGGTCAAAGCGTAAATAATCATCGGAAAAGGCAATGATCCTGAGAAAATCAATTTTTATCGGTTCAAACTTCATCCTCGACCACTTCCTCAATTTTCTCTCTCGCACTTGGTGCTTTCAAAGACGATGGCCGACATATCTATCCCTTCAGAATTGCTTCGGATCATATTCGAACAGTGTGAAGGACTTTCCAACACAAACAACGCCTTGGTTTGCAAACGATGGTCAGAGACTGCGTTGGACATCCTCTGGTATGAAGTTTCAGACTTGAGAAGGATTGCGGAGCTCTTGGGATCGCTAGAAATTTCTCAGGACTCGCCACGTATTTATGTGAGCCGAGAAAATCTATCGCTCCAACTCCTTGACACTCAAATGTTTGCACTTTTAGAAATACGTCGAAACACCAACATATGCACTCTGGCGAAGGTTCGAGCAGATTTACGCTCATCGAATTCGAGTTTTCCGAGTTAACTCGAATACTACCAAATATAGCAATATCTTGGCTGATATTGCTCGTCTTCGCTCCCCTAAACCTATTCTACCAAATTTACACACTTTCCAGTGGTATTTTCCGCGGGGAAATCGCGTTATGTTGCAGTACGCCGCCATGTTCATGCATGATTCTGTCAGGAAGGTTATACTTCCCAGTAGCTCATGGGCGGTCACGTCGGAATCTATGGAGCTAATCCAAATTTTGCAGGCAAGAATGCCGTCGGTGACATGCCTGGAGCTCCCTTACCTCTCTGATTTCGATCGTATCAGGGAAGATGCAGCCATTCAACGATCCATCGTTGAAATTTTACGCTGTTTGCCAAATTTGACGGCGATAGTGCTACCTCCCAACCGTGATCTCTCTCATGTAATGGTTGCAATTCCTTCCTTGCCTTCCCGTATATCTTCGTTGACGGTGTGCAATGTCTTCGGACCCGTGTTCGGTGGCAATGGAACAACAAGACATCTCAGAGAAGTCAATACCCTCATACCCTCACCCCTCCCAAATCAAACAAGTACACTCACTTGGTTGGCCTTGCCAACCCACTATCGTGTTTTAGCAGACTTTCTTCCCAATGCTCCTTATTTAACGCACATTACGGTGTTTTCTGGAATTATAGAAAAGCCGGATGATGTTCAATTTCTTCTCTCCCGTGCTACAAACTGTCGTAGGCTTAGACATGTTCGCCTGCTATTCCACGGACTCAGATACTCATCGCGAGCACTCAGGGGACCTTTCCCTGCACCTGAGCTCGGTATTCGCTTTGGTCATTTGGAGCCAATACTCACGTCTCAGAATATAGTTCAGTTCGAAATTCAACATTGGCTTCCACTCAACCTTTGCACCGGCGACGTTGCGAATATTGCTAGATCGTGGCCTCGTCTTGAATCCATTATGCTGAACCAGGCTCCTGCCTCAGTTCCCGATATTCCTTGCCACTTGAACATTCTCTCTCTTATTCCTTTCGCACAACATTGTCCTCTCCTTCGCACTATCGGTATCCTCGCCGCCGCAGGGCCTCTTTCTTCAACACAATGGGGTCATTTACCATCCCACTTTCCACAGTTGGAGACCTTGCACGTAGGAATCTCGGAGAACAGCGGACCTAACGATGTCGCCCTGTTTCTTGGAAGAATTTGTCCGTCTGGATGTTCAATTCAGTATGGATCTCATTGGTACGAATTTGACCAGTACAAATCCCAGTGGGATATTGTAGCGAATACTCTTCCTTTGCTTATACGTATGCGGATGCAGATGTCGTCTTGATTTACTTACTTGCGAATAGTCATGTAGCTTATTTATTTAGACCTTACTCAGCTCCTCGATCCACTGGCAGCTTCAACTTACCCCCAATTATGGAACTTAGGAAAAGTGTTCGTATATATATCGAGGCTCTAAATATTTATTATTTATTTCCATGCTAATGAGAACCGTGACCAATGCATGTAGGTGTACCAGTCATATCAAGCAGGTAAGTAGGTACAGTAAATTGCGGGAAATCAAGACGATAGCATAAATTAGCAGGCAAATCCACAAGAAAGATACAGTAAATGTCAAGAAACCAAACTCCCCTCTTTAGCTCATAGCGTCGTCGTCGAATTTTGAAGGATCAAATCTATTGACCGTCTCCACAACTTGAGAGCCTTTTCGCGTGAACACGAGCTACAGGAAGGAAAAACCTCAGTCAGCCAACCAATCGACAGGCATGTATTTTAAGAGATAAAACCTACCAAATACGGATTCGCTGTGTCTCCTGTTGTATCCCTCAACACCTCCTCCTTGGGAATCTCCGTGACGTCCTCATCGTTGTACTTGAACCATTCGTCTGGTTTATCCGGAAGATTCCTCGAATAGAAAAAGTAGTGTCCAAAGGAGGGTGAGTTTCCTCGGTGGATGAACACTGAGGTGAGCTCATACGCTACGCTGGTGTCGTACTGCCATAGCTCCTCGAGCTCGGCTTTGAGTTGCGGAATACGTGTACGGAGTTCAGTCATTTCGGCTTGGAGGATGTCGCGTTCTTGCTCTTGGGATATTTGCGGAGGGGTTGGTGGTAGGGGGTGTACAAGGGGAATGTCGATGTCGATGTCGAGTGATGAGGGGTTCGCGGTGGCGGGTGCTGGTTCAGGAGGTTGGATGTTCTGTAGAGCGGACTAGGCATATATTATAAAGAGTAATGCAAAGCGAAACTAACCGTCGACTTGCCCTTGCCTTCACTTAACAGTTTTAGGCGTTCCCGACATCCATTGAGTTCATCCTGTATAGCCTTCGAACGCTTCCTCTTATCCGGATCCGCGCTGTCCATGAACCGATCCATATACAGCGTCTCGCCAAACTTGACATACGCCTGCGACTTCCACGACTGCAGGAGCTCGCGATTGAATTGCACTCTCTGTCAAAGATATCGTCCTCAGTAAAGCTTCTCCTTCTCCTCATCACTGGGTATCGTACCTGAAGCTGGACCTGTAACAAAGGTGGCACTTTCACGAGCCCAACCTCCATTGATACCCTCTGCCCCTCATACTCGATCGTATCGTCAAAGTACCGGCCTAGTCCATCGTAGATATCAAATCCGAATTCCCCCTGTTCGGCATCGGTGCCCACGTTTACAGGTAGATGGGAGAAGAGGTCGGTTTTTTGGTGTGTGGTGGGTACACCCTTTAGGTTTCTATAAAGGTTTGTCGGATTTGGCCGTAGAAGAGTCTACATAGAATTGTAAAGGTAAGAGTAACAATCAGCACATTGGTAGGACCAAAATTTATCTAAATACACTCACCGCTTCACGACGCTTGCTTTCTCCGAATCAGGATCGTCCTCAGTCTCGCCCAACCCACCGCTATCGTCATCATCATCAAACTTGAGCAGCGCAGTCTCAATTTGGAACATGCAATTATCCATACATTCCGCCACATCGTGTTGTTTTCCAAACATCATCACCGAATCATTATTCACGACAGGTGCAGGGGGTTTCCTCGGTGGTAGCGGAGGAGGAGTCTTTCTTCGTATTGGCGAAGCATCTCGCATGACGACATCGTCAGTGTCAATGTCAATCGCCCAGTCTGGCGTTATTCTTCCCGAAGCACTAGTACCTTGTCCTCCGGCACCCGCAGTTAAGAAGGTAGTAGAGCCCAACGAAGCGATGGAATCCGGAGGTGGAGACGCATCTAGGAGCAATGTTGAGGTTGAGGTTGAGTCTCCGAGGAGTCCGCTACTACTATCAATCAACTCGGTATCCTGCTTTGAAAGATCTCGGGGTCGTTTACCAAGGACGGAGGAAGAGTGAGTTGGTGAATACGTGGGGGAGCGTGAGCGAGGAGGGGGAGAGGATGACGTGGAGTTTGAGTTTGAATTGGATCCCGAGGGCTGCGGCGGAGGTTCCGATGTACCAGCGTTAGCGTTGTTCGATGAACCCGAGGGACCAGCACCAGCACCCCCACTCCCAAGCACAAGCCCAGGTATATCATCAACCAAGGTCGCATCCGTATCATCGCTCCCACCCGCACTTCCACTCTTATCAGTCGTGGTAGACTCGTCATCAACCTCCTCGTCCTTGGATGTCACCAAAGCTAGCTTAGCAAGCTCGATGCTCGGAGTGACAGCAGGGTTTTCAGCGTATTCGAGAGAGTGGAAGAGGTCAGCCAAGTGACTGACGACTGCCATAAGCGTCAGTTAGATCCTTCACGGAAGAAAAAACCTCTCACACTGCTTCGACCTGACAATCTCCCTCCTAGTCACCATCCGTCCCCCAACACGATGTTTCTTTAACATATCGTCCGAAAGAAGCTTCATATCCGCATCCACACCCTTGTCGTTATCATTCTCTTCGTCCAAATACATTCCGGTCGCTTTGGCATGGGAGATGGCAGCCATAGCTGACCCACCCATGCGGAGAACAGAAGCGCGGAGTTCTTTGATTGTGTAGAAATACTACGAGGGAGAGATGAGTTGATGGTAGAAAAGGTGAAGGCAG